CTTTATTTTTACTGTTTTGCCTTCTCCAAATTTACATGCTGATCCAGTATTACGTTCATTGATTCTTGTTTTTGAAACCATGTATATAATGCCTCCTTTACCAAATCGTGTGCATCTTTTCGCTGGCGTTTACGCTTTAACTGAGACGATGAAGCAGACTTTTGAATGTCTGCTTGGTTTTTAATTATGCGATTGATTGTTGTTCTGTCACAACTATATTTATTGCATATACCACTTTTATCAACTTTATCATTAACAGCCACAGTAAATTGAAGTTTTTCTTTTATTGTTAAGCCCACCACATGCTTTATTTTTCCCATTTTACGATTAGTAATGATTTATAGAAAGACACGATCAAAGCAAAATAAAAATGGATATGCGCAGAAAAAAAAAATACATGAGTTGCCATATTCATCGAATAGAAAAAGAGTCTTTTTTATTGGCAACGCATATATTTTGTGTTTGCAAATTGGTTTCCTAGGTGGCGCAGCTAAGTTGGACGATATTCATAGAAAATTGCAATTAAATTCTGCCGATACGAGGCGCTTAAGTGCAACAGGCAGCTAATTTGGATGCAGCAAACGTAATTATTTTCATACAAATGATCCATAAATGCAGAATTTAAGGCAACTATCTAATCGATGCAGCTAAGCGAATTATACTGTACTTGATTTTTTTCACTTCCATTTCTCATTAGTAATGCAATAAATTTTTTTCCTTATGGGATTCCGTCTTTGTTGTCGTTCGTATCTAACGTCAGTTTAAGTATTAGTACTCAATAATCTTTATTTGCTGAATGTGCTGTAGTTCTTTTAATCGTTAAATGTCTTATATAAATTGAAAGTAAAAAGAATAAACTCGTCTGTTGGCGAAACACAATTTCTCGAAGAAGCGCGAAAAAGATATCTATCTGTCTTAGTTTTTCTTATTCCTGTCAAATAACAGGTATTTTTACAGTTATATGTTATTACGGATTCAGTACGGTTTTTATGAAGTCCAGATCCTGTTAAGTATCTTTCTTATATATTGTGTAATTTAATTTATTTATTTGGTTTTGGAAAAAATGTTATAAAAATTTTTGTTGGTACTGATATATCTTGCATTTGTGCTGTTTCCTTTATTTACACTTTTTATTTCGCCAAAATGTTATATATTTTTTCCATAAATCAAAGCGTTTGTTTGGTTTATTGTTTTTTCTATTTTTATAATTTTTTATTAAAAAAAAAACAAATGTAATTAAATTTGTATTGACAATTTATTAAACAATCCAATTACAAACTTTTATTGTATATTCAATTTAATTACCACTGTTCTTCATAATACTTATATTGTTTTCACTATATATGTTTTACTTTATTCTCAGTATCTGTTTTATACTTTTTTTTTAAAAAAATCATACAATTCGGATTTTAAATAGAATAAATTAATATAGCTAAGTTTTAATTCGATAAGCAACTGCCTCTGCTTTCCACAAGCTCAACTGCCCAACCACTCTATTCTTTTTCTGCAAATCCTCACGCCACCTTTACCATTCTTGCAAAACCAGACCAACCTTTTCTCTCAAAAACAAACAAAACATCACAGTTAATCTGATCTTGCAGGTGCGGTTTACAATATTAATCTTACAGTGGCGTGAGTAAATAAAATAACCTAACTTATTAAACTATAAACTATAATACATTAAATTATAATATATATTGAATACATAGAAATAATATTAATAATTAATAAAAATAATAATAACAAATTATAATAATATTCATTATAATAAAAATATAATAATAATAATAAACATAGTACTTTTGAATTCAAAATAATAATACTACAACAACCTCTAATCTAATCGCGCTATGGTAATCGGTCGTCCGGATATCATATAAGTATTGCTAAGTCTTCAGCCGTTTCCTTCCTCTGTCAGCATCGAAATGCCGCATAGAACACGATTCAATTGAAAGACGTAACCTTGTCTTAAGTTAAATTGAATCTATCTTTATGAGTATTTATACTTATTCTAGCTTATTTACTAAACAATTATTATTTACTTTTGATTGATTTGAGTAACCAATCAATGCATTGGTTACTCCCATAAATTACATTAAATATTTTATTACATATATTTTATAAACAAATACTCTTCTAACGCATTACAATTATACGTCATATATTGTTTTAAAGAGTTAATGTACTTTATAGAATTCAGGTTGGAATAGTGCAATGACCATTGTAAAGATGTTATTATATACAGAAGAGTGTAATGATGTTAGGTTGTAATATTATCAAGGATGGCAGGATCGCCATGTAAAGATGTGTAGCTTCAGGATTGCCATGCAAGGTTCTTCATCCAATACATTAATATGTATTAACTTGACAGGATTGCTAAGTGATTGTAATTAAGAGCCCCAGAAGAAAGGTTTCGACCTAGCAAGGATTAGTATTAATCTGAGCTCTTCAGCCGCCTTTAAGTACTTTCTAAGCTCTTCAGCCGCCTTACTGGTATTACCAGCAGATATGTCGCATATAACCAGAGATTCAAAATAAAATATAGTTTATTCTTGTTGCCTTTGCAAAAGAATCTAAAAGAATCTGATTTATTTGTAAAATCTTACTCTATTTATATAAAATATTCTTATGTACTAAACTTATTATTTAATTCCTACATATTCTTGAGTAACCAATCAATACATTGGTTACTCCCAATTTTTGATAAAGTATATAATTTTTACATGTAAGATATTCATAGTATCTATTATACTATTCTAACATATGTTATCTATTTCTTATGCATTTTTACTTGTAAATATTATTATAAGTGTTATCCATAAGGTTTTAC